ATCTTGCCCCACTGCTGCTTCCCTTCTCCTTTCAGCCTTTTAGAAAAGCCAGACCTCCATCAGCAGCACTATCTGAGATTTAACGACAGAAACCAGCCAGCAGAACCCTGCAGCTGAGTTTCAGGAGTTATTACACCCTTCAAGATGTGAAAGCGCTTTGTTCTCCACGCCTTGCTACACCTCATGCTGCAATAAACTCAAGCTGCCAACCTGGAAACTTCCAATTTGTACATGGACAAGGAAAAAAAAAAAAAAATTTAAAATAACAAAAGGATGAGCAGTGAGAAGTGGTGGAAAAAGAAGCAACAGAATTAAATAAACTTTAGCCCCAAACACACTGCTGTAAAAGGAGAGGAAATCAGCCCCTACCTCTACCTGTGACAGAGCCACAGGTGAGCACAGGTGAGACTGCAAACCTACCTGCATGGGTCAGAGGCCAGGGGCCGTCCAGGAACATGACATAGCCAGAGAGGCAGGTGACAAGGAGCCCGTGCAGGAGGGTGACCAGGCGGCAGCTCCACTTGCAGGAACGCCGCCTGTTCCAGCGGCAGAAGCAGCTGTAGAGACACAGCCAGGTGACAAAGCTGCAGCTCACCTCCAGGACGATGGCAACCATCCTGCTGCACACGGAGGGACAGCGTCAGGAGGGGCGGCAAGCCGCGCTCATCCCCACCATCCTCTGCATCCACCCCAGCACATCCATGGAAATCCCGGGCAGGATGGAGGAAAACCCCACAAACAACCCAAAGGAGCAGAACAAACCTTGTCCCGACCCCCCTTAGCACCGTTTCCAAATTTCCCCAGCAGGAAAACCATATCCCCGCCCCTCCCGCTGCCCTCGGGCTCTAGGGAGGACCTGAGCCCATCCCAGCACGGGGCTGGGGGTACCCGAGAGCCCGAGACCCCCAAATCCTCACCCGCTCCGGCTCTGCGCGCCCGGGACCGCGCCCGGCTGGGCTGCCCGGGCGGGGAGGCGGTGCCGGGGCTGCCGGAGCCTTTTATCGTCCCTGCCCTGCCCTGCCCTGCCCGGCCCGGCCCGGCCCGGCCCGGCCCCCGCTGCATCCCCCGAGGATGCTCGGCCGCGCTCCCGCTGGCTCAGCCCCGCTTTCCCTGCCCCGCAGGCGGGCGGGGATGCGCGGAGCCCCGGGGCGGGGAACGGGGAACGGGGAACGGGGAACGGGGAA